AAAGTTGGAGGAAACCCAAAAACGAAAAGTTGAGGATGCATGCGAAACTACTTCGGATGTGGCAGCAACAAGAGTCGGTAGAAGCTCGAAACGGTGGATACATCGGTGGACATCAAACCCTCATTTCATAATCTTTTATATGCTCATATGACGTCATCATTCGGCTGTCTTCTGTTTATAATGCAGTTTTGTGACTCAGCAAGCTGAGCGATTCTTTGGAAAACAGCCGGCCGCAAAGGATACAAATCATAGCGCGTCCACACAGTAAAACGGCGTATCCGCCCTTGAGCAAAGCTCGTGTTGGATGCTCCGGTCGGCCTGAGCAGAAAGAAAAAACGTTCCAAATCTCAAACAACGTTCCGAAAGTTTCAAATCCAAAGTGTCCCTGTTTGTGTGTGGGTTCTCTTGCTGAAATATACAGCTGCAACTGATATAATCCTTCTTCGAATGCCCTTTCCCATGTGGCCCCCTTGTTGCCTCCGCATTTCCCCCAGTTACCCTCGTTCCAGCACATCGCCCACACCATCTCCACTTGTGTCCAACATATTAAACCTTTTGTTGCCCCACAATCGCCAGTGATTGATTCGCTTGAATTTGACAGTGGCTACCAACTAATAATCCCCTGCGAGAGTGAGTGAGTGAGGGAGAAACTTGTTTCTGAAGAAACCCAAAATATTCCCCTCGTCTCTCGCTACCTTCGAAACAGGGAAGTTCGGACCCACCGGGAGGGGATTTGGACACCGATAGCTTGTACCGGTGCTGGTGAGGAACAGGTCGAGCAAAGCGAAACATCAGATCACCCACAAAACATCACTAATGACGAATGACTCGCCTGCGTCAGAACTCCTGGCTCAAATCCCAACCCCCCAGAGGCGCCTCTTGAGATCATTTTGATCGCCCCAATGGTCGAAGCATCATGATTGATATTAACCGGTGTGCGACAGCTCTTCAAATGAGGCACACCATGGCGACGGCGGCATATTTGCTTGGGCTCTATTGACGGATAGCAAAGCCACTGCCTGACTGTGCTTCAACAAACTCTTTGCGGTCATGAGGTGCGCTTGTCACGGAGCTGGAAGCCTATCTGTCGGGAACATCTTTGCCTTATTATCAAATTATGCTGCTCAGTTTAAAAGCAATCTGAGTGCTTGCCGGATTCCAGGCTTTATATGGTCAATGCATGTCAATGCAACTGTCAATGCAGTATCGCATGAATATGGTGTGCCATGCAGGAACTCTAGTTTGGTATGCCGTTGGCAGGAGCGACTTCCCTTCGAGATCCTTCGAGTCCTTCTTTCAAACTCCTTCAAGCACATGATGTGTCAAAGGTTCTCCACTCGGGCCGGAGGCCGCGGGTTCCGCAAAGCCTTACCTGACTGGAACCTTCTCTCGCGCGTGGGCCTCGATCTAGGCAGTGTGAGAGGTTCATCGCAACTTCAGCGAGGGGGCGCTTAGAATGTCACCATGCCACCATGTGTTACCCAACTGCACAAAGAAACCCCTAACAGAATGTGTTTACATGTTTTTACATCCACGGCTTAAGCAACAGTCAACGTTACTCCCTCAGGGCTAGGGCAACTTGAGGGAGGCGGCCTCTCAAGTCGAATTGAGCCATTCTGAGTGAGTGAGACTGGTATGAGCTGGACTAGTTTTTGTAAGCTCGGTCAAGGCATGTCAAGGCCAAGGTGTTGAACTTCGGTGACGCATGGGAACAACACAACACAAGGCAAGTCTACTCTATTCCGCTATGGTTTGCTTTGTCACTGGCGCATTCAGGACCAAGCAGCCCTCTAGGACCTGCTTTGTAGACTGGGTCCAAAGAAACACCATGCACCAGTGCCACACATCCAACCTGCAGACTGGCCCTGCAGGCCGACCTCGCCGCTGGGCTGGCTCGGCCCGCCCGGATCCAGCTGCCCAGATCCATCCGTGGCACGTGACGCCTTCAGGCGCCGATCCGGCCCAGCACGGGTGGAGCGCGGGTGGAGCCGGGAACCAGAGCAGCCCAGCAGCCCGCAGCGAGGGAGGAGTTACTGCAGCGATCTGCAGCGCGGAACCAGCTGAAGCAGTTAGTGAGACATCTTTTAGCCTGCGAAGCTGGGACAGGGTTTGGAGCATTGAAGGGTTTTAACGAAACTGAGGTATAGTTGAACATAGTTGAACTTTGTGTTCCTCCTCATTTTGTCAGATATGTCACTTCAGCTGCTTGTGGTGTCCGTTGCACCTATAGAAGCAGCAGCTTCCGTCTTGACTCATCTATAAGCCACTTGACACCGACACCCGTATCTTAGGGCGCTCCGCTGGCTGCAGTGATATGTTCATGGCCTGGTTGATTTGCAAAGAGCGCTACGAACTATCTCAGGAGAGCAGGATAATCATGCTGGTGTTTCTTTTTAAGGTTCATCTGGCGATCGCCTGCCGGAAGAAAGAAGGCTTCATGTTCAAGCAAAGTAGCGCATATGTGCAGCGGCATTTATTTGGTATCAAACTTATTAATACACTATCTATTACGTGGAGGCCCTATCTCGTTAGACTACTTAAGTAGGAGGTCATGTCACAGTATCTCGTTCAGACTACTTTAGTAGCAAATCACACTGTCTCGTTCAGACTACTTTAGTGCAATCAAGCAAAGCATCTCGTTTATGTGGGGGCCCTATCTCGTTCACAAGCGAATACTGATGATAACAATTAAATAGAGCATGCCGTAGACTACTTTAGTAAAGCCTAAATAAAAGTGGCCGCTCATATATCTTTCTCCTTCATTCTTTCAACATGTGAGTGTGTGTGTTCTTGTTCCCCTACAGGAGTTGGTGAGCCTCTGTTGCGTGCTTGTTTTCGGCTAGAAACCTCAACATGTTGGACTAGAGACCGTGTCAAAAGAACGCATGTGCAAATGAAATTGAATGAATGTCCGTCTGCTTCTGGCAAACGAACTAAACACAAACTGGTGCACCTTCACTTCTTCGAATCCTAGTTTCGGAAGCCTAGTTGCAGAATCCCAGTGTCGAAATCCAAACAAATAGTTGCCGAATCGCAGACTCGGACTAAAAAAAAGCACAAATAACCAAAACACCACAAGGTATTTTTGCAGAAACGCTTGGCACAACGTGATGTCGCAGCTGGAGGATATGCTGCAGCGCCCGGTGCCCGTCCTTCAGGGCTTCCTCCACTTGCCTCTGCCTCGCGCTGGCAAGGGTCCAAAGTAAAGACCCAAAAACTCTTTGTTTGGATGGATGAAATACATCCACTGACCCCAATGTGTGTTCTTTTTCTGTTGTTTTTTTTGCATCCCAAAAAACCATCGCAATGTATAATGTGTACAAAAAAACATGGAGTGTCTGGGTATTGATCCTGAAGTGTAGTGTACAGTATTTCTTCCGGTTATTTAAATCACACTCGTTATGATTCCGATCCACCACAATCACTAATAAGGAGGCGAACACAGGGATCCTGTACCTTGAGCCCAAGGGCTACAAAACGGCCCAAGCCTGTCACAGGCACACACATGTGATCGAGGCTTCCAAGGTTTCAAATCTACTGAGCCCCATTGTTGGCCAGCTACTGAGTCAAAGGGCAAGAGTAAAGCAGTGCGGGCTGTGGCTTGGTTTCCAAGAAGCATGATTGTTTTGTGCATCAAAGGGTTGCCTGGCTTTGTAGGGCAATGATGAGAAGCACACAAAGCCTGAATTTCAGATCTTAGATTTGACATCACATGTATGCTTCTGGCAACCGACACAGTGAAACAGGCCTCCAGAAGACCCATTCTTTGGCAAACAAGGGCACTGGTCATGTCTACGGTACCCATTACCATTACCAGTAACAGTGGGTGATGATGATGAGTGATTAGTGATTAGTAAATGCCTTTCTCTAAAATAGTGATAATTCTTTACCGACTGCTACAGGTAAGAACAGACCCAACCTCTAGGCTATCGTGTATCCATGTGTATCCCGTCTCCGACCAATGATGTCTAACCCGTACTCGATGTTTGTTCAGACTTCAGGTCCTTCGATCCGACTATCTCACCTGCCTGGCATCCTGTTCCTGGAGAATCTTCTTCTGCTCCTTTCAAGTTCCAACGTCCAAACCACGTCCTTTCAAGTTCCAACGTCTCGTACGGCTTTGGAGGATGTCACCCTATGGGCGGCCCATGTTGTTCAGCGGAACGGAAGGCAAAAGAAATGGCATCTGAAGTTGGATGTCACCGAAGATGTTCATAGTTGTAATAGCAAATAGAAAACGGTCTTAGAGTCTTTGAAGCTTCATGTGCCAACCTATGACTTCCATGTTTGTTTTTTCCTGAGCACAGCCTGCCCATCTTATATAGGCATATACTTTCGATACTTTGCTGGACAGCTCCCATGGAGAATTCAACTAAAAGAGCTCATTGATAGACAACTGCTGTATGTTACCACCAATTGTAAGCATTCTCAAGAAGACATCTATGTAAAAAGAGCACCTTCTTCGGTCGTTTCCATTGGCAAGCCCACCAAGGAAGAAAAATAAAATAATGCAACAAAAACTTGCAAACATAGTTCCAAAGCACATGCTTCGATTCTGTTTCGGTCTCTGCATTGTTTACCACGTGGTTTTGCGCCGTGCAACTACCTCCGTTTCGGGCCCGTTTCGTCTTTCTGCGCTCCTCCACGCGCACGATGACCTCGACCAGGCCCTCGGAGGACCTTTAGGTCAGTCGGCGCCAAAACCAGTGGATGCATACAACAGGTGTCTATCAAGAACACAGCAAAACAAATGGGTTCTGAAGTTCAAACAAAACCCTTAAGTAGGGCTGCTCGGGCTCTCCTTCAAGCATCTTCTTAGCCAAAAAGATCAGAAAAACGCCTTGACACCCTGAACATGAAACACATTAGCGTCCTTGATTTCAACAGTTCTGGCACCCAAGATTTAGCTCTTGCCAGCTAAACACAAGCTTCTTTCACCTCTTTTCATCCCGTCACACACTGCCGTATCTCACAGCACCATTGGGCGCCACATCTTTTTCGCTGCCGCATGTACATGCGGCAGCGTCATTGCATGCACAGGGGGCTCGAAGACAGCAACGAAGCCAATCGTTCCTGCAAACAAGGACGGCAATGGAGAAAGTTATTCTGATCCTGATCCCGAACATGATAGAAATGAAAGTGACCATCTTTATATAGATGTTCACTGGATATCGGCACTCTCCGCTTGGGCCGGCTCTACCAAAAGAAACAAACTTCTGGTTGTCATCGACATGAATCTGGCTCTGAATCCGAGGAGGTCGGCAACCTCCAGTATCTCAACAAGCACCATCCCAATTGAAAGAAATGCAGGAGAGAGATTGAACCCAAAGAGCCACACTTTTTCAAGTGGAAAACATCACTTTCCACTTCTAAGTGATGTCCACTTCCAAGTGATGCGTTCGTCGGGTACCCGTCTACGCTGTCTACGCGACATCGCCCGAGAAGACGCCAGGCCTGCAATTCGGCCTCCTTTTCCTCGACCTCCGCACACAACGGCTTGCTCCCGGGCCCAGCAATGGATTGAAGATATGGTTTCTGTTTTGCCCCACAAAATCCAACTCTCCTGAAGCACCTAAAACCACCAAAGCACCAAAGAATAAGGATCATTTTCCTGCAGTTTTTCTCCTGCAAGTTGCACATGCTGTGGTTTCAAGTTGCCACGGATGATTACAGTATACTTCCAGATTTTGGTCACCCATTCTTTGGAAACGGCGCGCCGTCTAACTCCAATATTGTCGATGGAGGGGTTGGCTATATAAGTGCACGTGGGTATTGAGCCGAACCTCACTTAGACTTAAACCAATCGCCATCCTGAAAAAAACACGCAGTGGCAAACACAACAAAGGGTGCAAACAAATTCAGACTCATTTTGTGCTGCAGGATGGTTTTGCTAGGATACCACATGCTCTCGTAGCTTGGACTTGGATTGGTACTATACCATCAACACAAATAAAACCTAATCATGGATGATATGATAGGTTTATTCGGGGCCTTCACCAAAAAACATACAATTCAGCATGTCGTCAATGAAGTTTTGGCGACCAGTTGGAATGCCCAAGTTTGGACCCTTATCCGGTTTGCCGAGTATATACTATGAATTGAATTGTTTTAACATGTGTATATAATATATTATAATATTGGTTGGTTGGTACTTTTTCATGCAATCTCACGCATCGTCTTGACCTGGTTTCAGCTAGTGAACAAGAAATGCGTCTGGATCTACAGCGGCAGATGTTCTGCTGGGTGCCTGGGTGCCGTAGATGTTGCCTGTGTTCTCTATATATTGTCGCGCCCCATTGGCCTTGAGCCATTGGAAGTAAAAGAGGGCAAAACTCGCCATCTCCACGACCAAACCATCAAAGCCTTGACCTGGATGAGAGGTTGTTTGGTGTAGGGTGTATGGAAAGAGGCTGCCAGTGCGTCGAGCCCCAGCAAACCGTCGAACGCCTTATTTCATAACCAGTTTCATAACCATAATATAACAAATAAAACGTATAACCACCATCATCATCATCATCGTCATCATCAGCAGCGGCAGCATTAGCATGAACATCAATCATCCGAAAAGAAAACTGTGAGTGGAATGGAGGCATTCAACATCTACAAACACCAGTGTTCAGAGTGTCAAAAAATGATTTGGTAGGTTGTTCAATCTCCAGACTCTTGGTGGTTTGGCATTTGGAACAGTCTGTCGTCAGTTGCAATATGAAAAAACACCAAGAAAACCACCCAGCGGAGTTGTCTTGACAAGTTATTCAACTAATCCTGGTCCAAGGAGTTTCCCGAAGGAGGATTCATTCCCTATCATCACTATGTTCTATGTCTTCGGGCCCGATTTCAAACCATGACCCCAAAAAAACATGCATATATAGACACCACGGGAACTGTAGGTTAAACGCCAGGATAGGCCAGGTCCATGGGACAACTTTCTGGATTTCCAGCGGTTCATCAGCGAGCCGAGCCGACAGTCCTAAACAAGACCTGAGACCTCATGGATGCACGTGAAGCGAACGATCCGATAGCACCCGCAAAGGCCGCTGGCCAATTTTGGCTGGAATCAAATACGCAAAAAATAATCCCGGAAAGAAACCCCAAACAGTGCGTGTGTGAGGTCTAGAAGTGTATAGAAGCAGAAAGTCTAGAGATCTAAACGCATTGGGGTCAGAGAGGTGATGGTGGTGATGAAGGTGCGGTGGTGGTGAGTGAGTGAGTGAGTGAGTGAGTGAGTGGAGTGGAGTGGAGTGGAGTGGAGGGGAGTGGAGTGGAGTGGAGTGGAGTGGAGTGGAGTGGAGTGGAGTGG